ATTCTGGTGTGGAAACACAGCTTATCCTGTTAAAATAATGGGCAGTGTGGAAACACAGCTTATCCTGTCAACATAATCTTGAGTATGGAAGCACAGTTCATACATGCTTAAAAGCATCAGACTTTATCACCAGCTTTATGACTTTACAGAATTGTATATAAATGAAATCATATGCCGCAGACATGCCAGTTCATACTGAAATTTCAGATAACATGAAACAGGACTTGATAAGTTACAGGAACCATAAGTTTTGATAGAATGCTTAGCTTGATGTCAGAATGTAATCAATCATTCAAAGTCTTATTCATTGTAGTCTATGTTTTTCTTACATTGCTATGCTCATCTTTAACAAGTATTTCATTTCATTGTAAACCAAAACAAAAAAGAGCATCTGGCGAAGAAAAAATGTCTAAATTATAGTCACACATAATATATACTATAAATAATAATGAACAAAGAGATACATGTTTCTTACCTTTAAACTTGTGAACCAGGTCAACACCTTCAATAACACGTACTCGTGAATCTGCAGATGTGATGAGCACTTCTGATGAACTTCCAGGGGCAAACTGTTTTCAGTTACCAGTTAACAACCACAGGGATAATAACAAACTAGGAAGAAAGTTAATGCAGAAGATAGAAATTACAAGTTAAAAGAAAAATGAACATAACCCTTCCTGCATGGATTGATAGATAATTGTAACTTGTAAGTATTGATATGGATATACTGCCAATTAAGTACCTGGAACCCAGTGATTTTCTTGTGATGAGATTTCTTCTTCCTATTCTGCAGATTAATTTGACTTTTCTGTTGCAACTTGTTATCTGAAATGATACATAGACATCAAAAATACAATTACGACTCAGCAGGACAACCAGCACAGGTGCATTATTGAAATATATATGCACACACAGAGGGAGAAAAATACTTATAGCTTGTACCAGATGTGTTGTATAAACAGCAGCTCCCTTTGTATGAACCAACAAGTGCTCCCTTAAAAAATAAACAAAAATTTCTTAATCTACGGCCTAATACTTTCTGGATGTTACACAGATAAAGAAAATGTTAACATGGTCCAACCTGACCATCTGGTGTGTAACAGGCTGCCGTGACCATCTCATGCAGATCATTCCAATCAACAACTTGACGATCGGGAATGCTCCATATACGAACTTTAGCATCTAAGGATCCACTAATGAAGTATCTATCATCAACAGGATTAAACTGGATGCAAGTAACTGTGTAAGGCAGATCCATAAAAATAAAGTGTGATTAGCATATATAAACCACTCACAAAAGCCCTTATCTTTTCTATGTATTTATCTTTTTCTTTTTTGGATAAGAAAGAAAGGAAAAGAGGAAACCAACACTTTAGCATTGCTGGCTTCAGTTAATTGGTAGATAGGGCAACAGACATACAAACAAGAAAGTTATTTGTCCAAAGATACTATTGAACTGTAATTCTGTATCAACATTTATTTTCTGTCTCTTCATTATTTTTCTTCTATTTCTTCATTTCTTTTTAAAGGAAAAAAAGAGAACCCTAATCTTTCAATTGAACCAAACTGACTCAACCAAGATGTTTTCCTTTTCTGCTAGAAAGAAACAAACTCTGTTTTTTCCTTTGTAAGAGAAAAGAGTCGAACTGTTTAAAGTAAACCAAGGGATGCACCCTTGGGAGATTTCCAAGCAGTAGCATTTTCACTTTAACAGAGTTGAAATTCGTAATTATACACAGAAACTAACAGGATACTACTTACCATAATCGCTGTGTGAAAATATTTTCAAACAAGTCTTGCTGGATAAATGCCATAGCCGAACAGTTTTGTCCATTGAAGATGAAAGCAAGTGCTGAAAGAAAAAGAGGGAAACTTTTAAGAGGAGATGGGGAAGTTGTTATACAAGTGGTTCTCAATTCAAGAAGAATAATTAAATGACCCTTTTTTTAGAATAACTAAATTACAATTTGTAAAGCTAATGTATCCATAAGAGTTAAATGCAAATAATCAAAAGCCATTGTTGGTCTGCTGTGGTTTAAGTTCAACCATTTCATAAAATTTCTCTCTAACCATCATGTGTGGGATAAAGCACCTTAATTGGGCAGGCAAACATACATTCCTAGCAATATTTGAAGCTTCTAAACTAGAAGGGCACAAAGAAGTGCCGATTAATTGCTTCAATGAATCACAGCCGAAACACTCCATTGTAAATACAAGCTGCTGCAGTCTACCACGTACTTGACTTTCTGTGTGCAATAAACCATTGTCAAACTAGAATGTATTCAAAGAACACAGAAGCACTATCTCTAATCCCATCTTGCCACTTGCAACATGCTTCCTACAATTAAATTAAGCAAATTAAATCCCACCATGTTTCTGGGGAAAGGAGGTTGTTCTGTTGGCCACTATGGATCTTACTAAATTTGTAGAAGTGGTTCATGTTTCCAACCAGGTACAAAGGTTATCTCAGCCAGTATTGCTTACCAAATATCATACTACTTTAACATTACTTGGCCGGGAAACACTACATACTTCTAGTTCTGAATTTTAACCACCAGATCTTAGTTTCAATTGCATCAACATATTATCAAGTTCTATGTTAGTACCTAGCCACCCATACCCCAAATTCAAAGGAAGTAATATTAGGCAGAGCCAAATGATTATTGTAAGTTAAAAGATATTATTAAGCTGAGAATTGAGAAAGCCTACTTCATTTCTTTGAAGTAACTAAGGAAGAAGAATAGCTGCACCTTTTTATGCATGATCACATCAATGTGAACTACAACTGAAACATATCTAATCAAAATTTTTAGAGCAACAAAAGCATCCATCATGCAGGATTCCATGTTCACATTTAGCCAGATTGGTCAGTGTTCTCCAGTTTTAGATGATGACAGTTACTCAACTTTCTCCTTTTCCAGCTATCTACTGATTCCAGTAGGTGAACTAAACAGATCAATTTAGACATAAATATGCAACATTAGAATTGTTCTTAGACTTCCTACATATCGCTAGAAAAACTCAATTGATGAACTCAAATGCTTCCACTATTTGGCATCTTCGAATTTTCATTGAACTCAATCAGTTAAATCTTCTCTTATATTTTCAAAATTTTTCTGAACTTACAAAGGCGTAGAAAAGCATCCACATGAGAATAAGCAAATCTTGCTCCAATTACTTCAAAACATTTACCGATTTAACCAAAACAACAGGTTGATACGTAAATAGCAGGTAACTTCAAATTTCACATAAGAGGAACCCACATTGTACGAAAAGAAAGAAATGATCCAGATAATGAATGACCCTTCAAGAAAGGCAGAAAGTTCATAATTCTAAACAATATCTGTATCATAAGTCCAGAATCCGACCGTTACAGAAGTAATACTAACACTCAAGAAGGCAAATATTGGTACATATTGATTGCAAGAGCAAGGAGATTCCAGGAGGATAACTAACCTGAGACTTGGACCATGATAGGTCGAGCACATCATCCAGATGTCCCTGAAATGAGCAAACAGGTTTTTCTGAGAGCCCAAAAACAGTTTCTGGCACCATAATTTGGTCCAAACTTAATGACTTTCGACCTATAGATGTCCTCCCTCTTCTCTTGGGTGACATTGTGGTTGGTTCTGGGGATCCATTGGCCATGAGCAACAAATTTAAATTTCCATCTTCTGGTTTCTCCACCAACAACTCCCCCTTCCTTTCTGACTCCACAACCTGCCAAATATGGATGACACAATCCTCTCCTGCACTCGCAAGATACCTACCATCCAAACTAAACTTGATGCTCCAAATAGACCCATTATGAGCCTGAATCTCCTGGCTCCTGTAAAGAGCCGTGATCTCTTTACAAGACTTCCCATACTGACGAACCCTCACTCTTTCTGGTCCGTGAAATGAAACATCCTGACTATCATCTGTTGCAGAACTTGACCTCCGCCCACCTTTCTCTGATGAAGTATCCCTCTCATCACTGCTTCGCCTCTCCTTATACCCTGTCACACTGCTCGCAACACTCCTTATACTCTTCAACCAGCTCCCTTTCTTCTTCGACTTCGACCCCCCACTTCCACTGCCATTGGCGTTCAAATCAGAACTATCTTTAGAACCATCCTCCACGTTCTGCCTCCTCATCAACTCTTGTACAATTGGTGAGTGCCCAACAGTCATCTCGAACTCCTCCATAGTCAACTGCCTGCCAGTTTCCACTTCCTTCAACTTGTCCCACATCCCATCTTCCCTAATCTCCTTCACCACAAACTCCTTCCCGTTATCTAGATTCTTAATAGTACACGCTTGCTCATTCACATTAACGATCTCCATCCCATTACAGTCCAAATCCTCAACAGTTCCCTGCCCACACGCATTTCCCAATAGAGATAATGAGTTACCACCTACACTACCATTCAAACTAGTGGAGTCGTTAACCCGCCTACGGTTCTTCCCTGAGGGTGGCTTATTTTGGGATGCACCACTGGCAACGGATCCGTCATTGCTCTTGCTGCTCCGTGACTCATCGAGGACACGATTATCATCATCATCATCATCATTATGATCATAGTTCTGGTTACGATTATTATTTACAAGAGCGGGACTGGGTTTACCAGTCTCCGCGAGGGAACGAATAGAAAGAATTGAAGAAGAACAAAGAGAGAATGAACACGAATGAGAACAAGAGTTACGCTGAAGTTGATGACCTCGATCGTCATCGTTACCATTTCCCTTTCCGCCGCCGCAGCAACTCGCTGCACCGTCTGATTTCGATCGGACCATGCAAGAAACTTCGCCAACACCACTGCCATTGTCCGAAGTCTTTCTGTGATCTTGCGGGTTCAACTGATCAGACGAAGCCGATCGGCTAAAATCAGCAACACTCACGCAGTCGATTTCCGATCCGGGCCTTGACCGCGAGAGAGCCGGGTCGCCACTGAGACCCATTTCTCGCAGGAGCCGGCTACGCCTCTCGGACACCGATGCGGGCTCGGAGATCCATATATCAAACTTGGTGACACCCATGGGAAACCTGGGGACAGGAAACGGGCTGGCGCGATCGTTGTCGGTGGCCGGGTCATGAGTTGAGGTGGGCGAGTCCGAATTGCTGTGCTCAGAGTCAGAATCCGAGTTGGAAGTGGAGCAGGAACAAGAGGAGACTATCCGATCGAGGGACTCGTAGAAGCACTCGTTCTCTTCGTCTTCTTCGTCGTTTTGCCTGCTCATCGTGGACGTCTTGCTGGGTGCCTGGGCATTCCCATTTCAGATTGGGGAAATGCCCCTGCCAAAAATATAACCAAAACGGATCACAACCCACTACTCCCCTTCAACTTCTTCTTCGTCTCCGACCTCCGGTTTTCTCCAATGTTTTTTTTACTTCGAACTCACTGGGTTCGCCCCCAACTCCACAATTGGGGGCTCCCTATCTCCGAAATTTGAGAAGATCGCTCGTGGGTTTTGGAGAGAAACTCAGATCCGATGGTGGACAAAGAGAAACTCAAAGCCTAAACGCGTCTGGTATTGGATTCTGAGAGAGAAAGTTCGGGTTCGGTGATGTTTTGTGTGGGAAGTGAAACACAGAGAGAGAGAGAGATATTTGGGTGTTTTTTTCTTCGGTTTTGGCACCGGTTCGTCTGTGTTGAAACGGGAATTTCATTTTCGAATTTTATTTTATTTTTTTTTTTCAATTTTTTTCAAACCACTAACCCATTTTTGTAAACTATTAATTGAATCTAATATCACAATTTTCAACCGTCACATATATATATATCTATTACAAAATACAATATATACATACACACACACACACACGCATATGAAATATTATCAAA